TCCGTGTATGACAAGGATATTCTCAACAAAATTTTTCCTTCAAATGACTGGCAGATAAAGGATGGTCCTACTTAGGACTACAAGTTGCTTGTCGACGGACTTAAAACTTGTTCCGAAGTAGCCTCAGTTTTGAAACACGAGGTTTAGTCGGCATCTCCATTACCACTGAGGATTTGCTCGAAAATAGAAGAACACTGAAACTTGATTCTACCGCAAGACACCTAACATTGCTGATGATAAGTGACAGTTGTAGAAGAACTTTGCCGGAGGAAGTGCATCGGTCCACGCAGAGAAAGTTATTAGAAGCAACTCATAACAATCTAGTCCATTGAAGTGCTGTTGGAATAATCTCCGCTATCAGCACCGAAGAAAGTAGACGGAACTACTGCCACAACGTGCCCTGATATGGGTTTTTTTTACGGACCAATCACTTCCACCCTACGATCCACGTCTCGAAGCCCAAATCTCGCTGGTTCGATTAAGAGCATCGATTAAGAATCTGCCATCTAAAGTTCAAATCGCGATAGAGAGCACGAAGAGAACAGCGAGGGAGAAGCCACAAATTACATCTACCTTATATATTATATATCTTTTAACTTGTATGATATCTTACCCACAGAAGGTGAAAATCTCAGCACATTGGAAGACGTCGCTGATAGTCATTCTGCCTAAAAACGGTGATCGAAAGGATCGTCGCCTCTACTGTCCACTACACTTGTTTAACGAACTATGAAAGATGTTCAAGAAGATTATCTTTTTACGCATATTCAAGACATTGCATGAGGTGCAACATTTAGGTAAGGGGGATTCCGACGGAGATTCTGCTGCACGGACCACATCTAGGCCATTTCGGGAGCCGTAGAAGTCTGTCGGGAGTTCCCTTTGCCCTTTGTCCCAACCTTTGCCGACTACGAAAAAGCGTTTGACAGGTACTAACGAGTACTATCTTACCAGCGCTCGTTGATTCGTCCTATATAAAAACAGTAGTTGGCATTTACTAGAACTGCGGCACGAAGATACACCTTTCCTAACGATTCCTCACCATATCCATAGAAAAAGATGTTCGACAAGATAACACAATACCTACAATGCTGTTTACTACCCGAGCACATTGGATAGTGAAATCACTAAATTGGAACGAGAGGGGCCTACGTACTGATGAAGGATTCCTATGNTTCAAGACATTGCATGAGGTGCAACATTTAGGTAAGCGGGATTCCGACGGAGATTCTGCTGCACGGACCACATCTAGGCCATTTCGCGAGCCGTAGAAGTCTGTCGGGAGTTCCCTTTGCCCTTTGTCCCAACCTTTGCCGACTACGAAAAAGCGTTTGACAGGTACTAACGAGTACTATCTTACCAGCGCTCGTTGATTCGTCCTATATAAAAACAGTAGTTGACTTTTACTGGAACTGCGGCACAAAGATACACCTTTCCTAACGATTCCTCACCATATCCATAGAAAAAGATGTTCGACAAGATAACACAATATCTACAATGCTGTTTACTACCCGAGCACATTGGATAGTGAAATCACTAAATTGGAACGAGAGGGGCCTACGTACTGATGAAGGATTCCTATGAAACTTTCGTTTTGACGACGACACCGTTATCTTCTCAAGAATTACCAGCAAAGCAGAGAAAATGATCAATAAGCTCAGCGAAGTGGGAAAAAAGATCGGACAGCGCATAAATCGAAAGAAGACCCTGCTCATGAAAAAACCATGGTGCGAAGGCAGAGAAATTGAACTGGGTGGTTCTCTGATTGCAGAGAGCACTTCGTACGTATACTTTGGGCGATCAATGAACAACGGAGCAATATGAAGGAAAAGCTGAAGCGCTGCGGTATAAATCACAATGCAATCGCTTTTTATTTCCCGCCTTTTCTTTTTTCATAGCAGGATATGCTATGAAATAGGACCACAATGATGCTGAGAAATTTGCAAAACTCTGAGCCGCAGGTGTATAGCATTATTAGTTTATATATTGCGAAAGAAATCTGCTTAGTCCACGTACTAACTTTTATTGAATTGTCGAATATGCTATCAAAACATTTTCATGGTTTGATGGTTTCACGTGGAATTTGTGTGATATACGATATACGTGAAGCCTTGTGGAAGAGCAGAATCGTGACAAATACTTTTTAAACACCGTTTTCACGAAATCAAGAAATGCATTTTTAGGTCATGGTTAAAAGAGAAGTGAACAAATTGGGAGTGCTTAGTGCTACCAGTTACGTTGTGGGATCAGTAATAGGATCAGGGATTTTCATTTCACCGAAAGGAATTCTTCAGTATGCTGGCTCAGTGGGATTGTCATTGATCATATGGGTTCTGGCAGCTCTGCTAGCTAGTTTGACAGCCGTCGTAAGTATGCCAACGTTACAAGAGTTCTTTTATAAGATAGCTATCAAGTGGAAATGGTCGAATACATGTTATTTGGCAACGATATGCCGAACGAAATTCGCTATTTGTAAAGCTGTTAAGGAGTGCTGTTATGAAATACGATTATCATTTAGTGATTCCCTCATTAATCCTATACCGTGGACCACCTCATTTAGTCGCTTGATCAACTCATTTCGTCAACCTTTCACGAGGTTTCCTCGCTCCTTACTTGTGCGAGAGTCCTAATTCGAGAGTCAACCGTATCACACGTTCATCTCATTTCTTCAACCGTGCGTACAATTTTTCACCTTTAAAAGAGGAACATTAGCTTCGTTGCAAGATACAGAGAGCAGGTAACAACAACGGGATCTATTACTAACAACAACCTCTTTACGACTGAAGCAGCTAGAGAGAATTATAACCGGCATACACAGTAACCAACTGGAGTGCAAAGCTCTGATCTTCGAAATTTATCTCGTCTTCGAGACCAAGGAAAACACATATTGATGGCGAAACATGTGAAGGCCGTTCATATAATGAGAAAACAGACGACAGATGGACGAAAAGAGCTGCAGAGACTCTAAGAGGACGCAAGCGTTCTCTAGGGATACTATCTAAATGTTGGCCGGCCGTGCCCATGACAGAAGTTCAACAGTTGTACTCCTAGCTGCAGACGTTTTACAGATCACGGTATAAGACTGGCACCCACCATCGCTGGGGTCTTCACAATTCGTGAAGACGACCGTTCAAGTATTCAAGTAACTGATAGAGAAAAGGCATCACAGACCTTGGCTGCAAGGGGCACGGCTGTTCTCCATTGTTCTCCATATTAGTAATTAGGTCGCTTCATTCATTCGTAGCCTTGCTTAAGTCCACTCTCCGTTCTCAGAAGTGCGGTACAGCTATGAGATAATACACTTAGGTTCTTTTTAGCATCATTTCTTCGAAAATACGCGGATAACTACGTGAATTTCAAGCTAAAGTCGCCCCTACTAGTGGCGCATTTCCTGAAGACAAAGTCTTTGGCCAAGGTGGATATCTATACTCAGTATTTCGTTAATCGTTT